TATTACAAGCCCACTGCCAATATCATCCTTAATGGGTAAAAACTGAAGGCTTTTCCCTTAAGAACAGGAATAAGACAAGGATACCTACTCTCACCACTCCTATTTAACATAGTACTGGAGGTACTAGTGAAAACAATCAGGCAAGAAAAAGAAATAAGGTTATCCAGATTGGCAAAGACGAAGTCAGGCCATCCCTATTTGCCAATGACATGATCCAATATATAGAAATCCTAAAGATGCTATCAAAAAACTCAGAGCTGGTTAATAATGTCAGTAATGTTGTAGGATACAAAATCAATGCCCACAAATTAGTTGTGTTTATATTCTCCACTGATGAGCTTACAGAAAGAGAAATCAAGACAGTAAGCCCATTTACAACAGTCACCGAAAAAATAAAATAGCTAGGAATCAATTTAATCAAGGAGGTGAAAGATCTCTACAATGAAAACTGCAAAACACTACTGAGAGAAATTAAAGAAGACACAAAAAGATGGAAAGACATTCCATGCTCTTAGATTGGAAGAATTAATATTGTGAAAATGTCCATAATACCTGAAGCGATCTACAGATTCAGTGCAATTCCCATCAAAATATTAATGACATTTTTCACAAAAGTAGAAAAAACAATCCCAACATTCATATGGAACAGTAAAATACCCTGAATAGCCAAAACAATCCTGAGGAATAAATAAATAAATAAATAAATAAAGCCAGAGGTATTATACTACCTGACTTCAAATTATACTACAAAGCTATAGTAACCAAAATAGCATGGAACTGGCATAAAAATAGACACGCAGACCAGCGGAACAGAATTTAGAACCCAAAACAACCCACAGGCTTACAGCCAATTGATATTTGACAAGGGCAATAAAAACATACATTGGGGAAAAGACTGCCTCTTCACTAAGCGGTGCTGGGAAAATTGGATATCCATATGCGGAAGAATGAAACTAGACATGCACTTCTCACCATATACCAAAATCAACTCAAAATGGATTGAAGACTTGAGTGTAAGACCTGACTATAAAACTACTAAAAGAAAATACAGGGGAAACATTTCAGGAACTAGGACTCAGCACAGACTTTATGAACAAGAGCCCAAAAGCATAAACAAACAAACAAAAAAGAAAATAAATAAATGGGATTATATCAATCTAAAAAGCTTCTGCACAGAAAAGGAAACAATCAACAGAGTGAAATCACAACCTAGAGAGTGGGAGAAAATATTTGTAAACTATACATCTGACAAGGGATTAATATCCAGAATAAACAGGAAGTCAAGCAAATTACACAATTAAAAAACCAAGTAACCCAATTAAAAAATGGGCAAAGGAGCTGAACAGACATTTTTCTAAGAAAGACATACAAATGGCCAACAAACACTTAAAAAATGATTAACCTTACTAATCATTAGGGAAATGCAAATTAAAACCACATTTAGATATCACCTCACACCAGTTAGACTGACTATAATCAAAGAGATGGGAGATTAACAAATGCTGGTGAGGATATGGAGAGAAGGGAACACTCCTGCACTGTTGATGGGACAGTAAATTAGTACAACCACTATGGAAAACAGTATGGACTTTTCTCAAACAAATAGATTTACCATACAATCCAGCAATCCCACTTCTAGGTATATACCCAAAGGAATGGAAATCATCATGTTGAAGGGATTCCTGCACTCTAATGTTCATCACAGCTCTATTTACAATAGCCAAGATATGGAAGCAACCTAAATGTCCATTGACGGATGACTGGATAAGGAAAATGTTGTATATATACACCTTGGAACACTACTCTGTCATAAAAAAGAATGAAATTCTGCCATTTGTAGCAACATGGATGAGGTTGGAGAAACTTATGTTGAGTGAAATATGCCAGGCACAGAGGGAAAGATACTGCATGTTCTAACTCATAAGTGGGAGCTAAGAGAGAAAGGAAAGAAGGAAAGGCCACAGCAGTGTGTTGGACTTGCAGAGGGAGACAGCATGCTTAACATTACAGAGTGGAGTGGGGGAGAAGGGAAGGGAGAGGGAGAGGGAGCAGGGGAGATGAATTGGGTGGGGGACATAGGGAATAACCACAATTTGTGGTAATGGGCATGCTGATAGTATTGGTCTGGCCACTACGTCTTGGGCACAAGTGGTGATGGTCAGCTTTGTACTCCATGAATATGCATAATCAATAAAACAAATGAAACAACAACAACAACAACAACAACAAAAGAAACCACCTGAAAGTCTAATAGGACAATAGTTTTACAAATTTTTGTGATTTTAGTGTAGCTATTAAGATCAGCTGTGGAAACATAGGAAATGCTTTACAATATTAATCAGAGGTGGGGGTGGGGGTGACAGGAGGAGGCAGAATTGTGTCCTATTACCGCAGCTTTGTAAATAATACATATACATTTTGGAAAAGAACATTTGCACTGAAAAAATAGAAAAAATAAATTCACATAACATAAAATTAACCATTTTAAGGTGCATATTTCAGTGCATTCAGTGCATTCACAATCTTGTGTAACCACTACCTCTCTCTAGTTTCAAAACTTTTTACCTCCCCAGAACAACCTGTACCCATTAAGTACTCACTCCCCATTCCCCCCTTTCCTATCCATTGGAAGCCACTAATATGCTTTCTGTCTTTATAGAGTTACCTGTTATGAATATTTCATATAAAAGGAATCATACAATATGAAAAAAAAATAATAAAGTAGACCATATACATTTAATATAATTATTGATAGGGCTCAATTCTCCATGCTATTTTTTGTTTGTTTCTTCCCTTTGTTTTTCATTTGTTTTCTTTTTCCTGCCTATTGGTGGGTTACTTGACAATTTTTAGAATTCTATTTTGATATCTATAGTATTTTTGAGTGTCTGTATAGATTTTTCAGTGGCTGCTCTAGATATTATATATACATAACTTATCGCAGTCCATGGTGTCACATTTTAGCAATTTGAGTAGAGTCTAGAAATCTTGCCTCCCTTTAAGTTCTTTTACCCTCCCCCATTTATAGTTGTTTTAATAGATATAGATTAGTGCTGCTTTAGTCTGAGATTTCATTTTTTATTAGCCATTATTTCTTTGAGTATTGTTTTTATTCTCTCTTTTTGGTATTTTGATTAGGTGAATAATGGACCATTTCATTCTGTTCTTTATATTTATTAACCTCTGCTTTGTGTTTTTCCATCTTTTTATTTATGTTCCAATACAGGTAAGTTTCTCTGATTTGTTTTTTTGCAGTTTACTAATTATCTCTTCAGCTGTGTCTGTTCTGTTCTTTAACTTGTCCATTGAGTTTTGCTATTTTTAAATTTTTAATATTATTAGTTTAATTTCCTGAAGTTCCCTTTGATTCTTTTCTAAATCTGTTGATTATTTTTTCTTTTTATTGTGTGTTCTGTTACTTATTTTATGTCTTTGCATTTAAATACATTTATTTTTAAGTTTCTATTTGATAGTGCCATAATGTGAAGTTCTTGGGGATCTAATTTAATTGGTATATCTTTTGACTCCCACAAAGGTAGGACTGTTTCTTAATGTGTTTTTAAATTTTGAATTATAAGTTCATTTTCAACAAACCTTTATCTGGGGTTTAGTTCTGTGCCTGGGTTGAGGACATGTCTCCAAAGAAATTTTGCTAAGTGTCCCAGATTATTTGACCAACCTGGAACCAAATTTTATTTTGTTTCTTAGCTTGAGATTAAGAATTTCCAGGGGAGGGCCGGCCCGGTGGTGCACTGGAGAGTGCGCCGCTTGGGAGCGCAGTGGCGCTCCCGCCGAGGGTTCTGATCCCATGTGGAAACCGGTTCCCGCTCACTGGCTGAGCGCGGTGCGGGTGCAACACCGAGGGTTGCAATCCCGTTGCCAGTCCCCAGTACGGGCGCGACACTGAGGGTTGCGATCCCGTTACCGGTCAGTAAAAAAGACAAAAAGAAAAAAAAAAAAAAAGAATTTCCAGGGGAGACTCGTTGTTGTTATTTCCCTGAGCCTAGCAACAATTGACAAGTTTTTCTCTAGTCTGACTTTCCACTAACAGTATAGCTCTCAGTGGCATTATGTGGGACATCTTAGCTCTATTCTTTGTATTGCAGACATCTCTATGGCTTCATCTTCTGTTCCCAAGTTAAAACAGAAGACCTTAGGCTATTGAGACAGACAACACTTCAACATTAACTAACGGAACATCAGTTTATAGTCTTATTGCTCTGATTTGGCCTCAGGATACTTCTCTTACAAATTCTTATAAGTTTTGCTATAAATTTAAAAGGATGCCTCTTACATTTTATTAATATGTCTAAGTGTTTTGTGGTGACAGGACTTTCTGGTTACCTAGTCTTCCATATTCCCAGAAATCAAATTTTGTTTATTTTTCTTTTGACAATGAACTCCATGAATGCAAGTCCAAAGCCATCTACTTCACCATAGCTTCCTCAACACTTAATATGCAGTACCTACTATATACTTAATAAATGTTCGTGGGATAAATGAAATGCTGTTCCTTACAGATTTATTTATGAGTGAAAAACTGGAATGAACCTAAATGTCTAATAATAGGGGAGTAGTTAGGTAAATGCTTTTATTTGCTTAAAAGTAAATGGCTATTACTCATGCAATATTTTTCAGCCAGAAAATAATAATTTGGAAGGCAGTATTATAAGACTGAAAACTATTAAAGATTAAGTGTAGGTAAAAAAAAAATGTCATGATTCAATTTTGAATTTATAGTATGGTAACTTTAAAATGTGCATAGCAAGAAAATATTGAACATTGAACACCACATTGCCAATAGTAGCTTATGTAGGAGTGGTGGATTGAAGATCCCTTTTACTTTTATTTTCCAAACTTCTTATAGTATGGTTTTATAATGAAAATATTGAAAAGGGGGGAAAAAGTATATAGAGTCCTTAAAAGTTTTTAGATTTAAGTATACTGAAAGTTGACAAAACATAAATATTTCAGAAATAGTTTTATTATTAAAATGTTTACAGACTTTTATATGAAAATACAGAAAAAGATCTTTCTGATACTCAGCGACACCTTGCTAAGAAAAAATATGAGCTACAGCTTACTCAGGAGAAAATTATGTGCCTGGATGAAAAAATTGGTGAGTTTTTTTTTCTCCTAATATTACTTTAATTTTTCTCAAGTCTGGTAGAAAAATATGTTTTTTTCTCTTCAGTTATAACATAGATAAACTTGGAAATAGGATCATAACACAAAAGCTTATGAATAAAAAAAATGAAAAAATGCATTTTTCTTTGAAAAGAAAATTTTTTACTTAGACCATAAATACTTAGTTATGACTTAAAAATTTTCAGTGAAGAAATAGCTAAACAACACAGCAACAGTTTGTAAATCTATGATGATCACTTTTAAATTTACAATTTTTTGTATAATGTAGCTTGGCCATTGCTTTTGTAATGATACACAGTACATATATATTACTGTTGGTGGAAAGTACACATGTTTGGCAATATCTATGATATTACTTGGGTTTATAGAGAAAAGAACTTTTATAAAGTCTGCTATTTGTGTTTCATACGAGTGATCTGTATGAAAATATAGTCATAACTTAATATCTTATAAGTATATGGTAAAATTTTGGTCAGGTCTATAAAAGAACCAATTTTAAGTCGAATGAAATATTTTTAACATTTGCTATTATGTAGTTCAAAAATACCTGGCATGAACAATTAAGTAGGTAGAAGTGCTATTTATCAAGACAGGAAATATTAAAGGAGAAATATAAAAGGTAATATTGAAGGAAAACTCATTTTTGCATATTTTAAGTCCAAGTGAAGAAGTCAGGTAAGCAGTTAAGTATATGTTTGTATCTCAGATGAGAAATCTAAGCTAAAGATATATATTTGGGACACATCAGCAGGTAAATAATATTTTAAAACCATGAAATCACCTAGGGAAAATATAGAGAATGGGGAGAAGTGGATCCAGGACTGAGTAAGAAGAAGCCAAAGAAGTAGGAAGAAAATCCAGAAGTGAGTGTTGTTTTAGAAGGCAAGAGAGTAAAGTGTTTTTAAAAGGGAGGGTATGATCAATTGTCAGATACTTTTGAAAAGTGAAATAAGATGAGGATAAGAAAATATTGATTGGATTTGGCATATTGGAGGCTTTGGTAACACTGGAGAAAAAAAAAGTTTGAGTGGAGTGTTGGATGTGGAAGGTAGAGTGGGTTGAGTAATGAATGGGAAGTGGAGTCAGGAAGGAATGGAAAAATCTCAAGAAGTTTGGCTATTAAAGGGTAGCGAGAAAATAAGGTGGAAGCTTGGATGGTATAGGAGGTTGAGGATTTTTTCTAAAGGTAGGAGATACTAGATCTATTTTAGAGATTTATTGATGAAGTGATTAACAGTGGGAATGAACTCTGATATCAGAACAATTAAAACGTGTGGATTGCCTTAAAGGCAGTACTCTCTGCAAAAAGAAACATCATGCATTCTCCAGTGCCATATAAGAACATGCTCTTGGCATATGACAGTATGGTGTTATCTCCCTTAGTATTCACCTGGATGGCCCATGGCAGGGATAAACCTAGAAGTCTGGTCTTCCCCTTGCAGAGCACTAGACCAGTGGTTCTCAAACTTTGGTGTGTGTCAGAATCACCTGGAGAGTTAATAAAAATCATTAGAGCCAGCCAGACTCCTTGAAGTAGGATAGAACCAGAGCTTTTGTATCTTTACCAATTTTCCTAGGTAATTCTGATTCCCTAGAACCTCTCTCTAGACCAGTGGTTCTCAAACCTCATTGTGCATTAAAGTCACTGTGGGGAGTGGTTAAAACATAAATTGTTGTGCCCTCCCCCAGAGTTTCTGATTCAGTAGGTCTGGGGTGGGGGTCTAAGAATTTGCATTTCCCAGATGACGCCTATGATGCTGGTTGAGAAACCATAATTTGGAAACCACTGTTCTATTCCCATCATTCAGGCCTTCAACACTGACTCTGACACCTTGTCAGAGTTCTCACAGTCAAATCAGACTTCCTGAAATGATATTTTTTCCCTAGGAATTTTTACACCACTACTTTATAAAAATCATCATGTTAGAAGACATTTGACGACTCTGAAGATGACTTATTTGAATATTTTATTAAGATCTGTTACCAACTTTATATACAACAGTGATTCTAGGCTAAAGGGAGAGGAGGGAAAACTGGGGGGGAACCCCAGGTTGTTTTGGTTTGCCACCCATTTTATCCACCCACCCTTTCCTCCCCTGCCACACATGTAACTCTACTTTGAGAACTTATGATATAGAACTTCCTTTTGCTATTTTAATTCAGAGGTATTAATTGTGCTTTTATGTTTATGAGTCATTTAGAATTTTGTGATTCATTGTAGTTTTTAATCACAACAAAACTTTTTTATTTGGGATATTTATGATATAGAACTTCCTTTTGCTATTTTAATTCAGAGGTATTAATTGTGCTTTTATGTTTACGAGTCATTTAGAATTTTGTGATTCATTGTAGTTTTTAATCACAACAAAACTTTTTTATTTGGGATATTGTACTCTTATTTTTAGTCATTGAATATAAGAGAACTTACTTAGAAAAGTATTTCAATCTGCTTTAGCAAAAAGATTTTATCTTGATTAAAACAACGACTTTATGCTTACATATTTAGATAATTTTACAAGGCAAAGTATTGCGCAGCGAGAAGAAATCAGCATTCTTGGTGCAACTCTTAATGATATGGCTAAAGAGAAGGAATGCCTACAAGCATGTTTGGATAAAAAATCTGAGAATATTGCATCCCTTGGAGAGAGTTTGGCAATGAAAGTATGTTCTGAGAACTGTGGTTTACAAGAAATATTTAAATGAAATATTGAAATGTTAAACTGTAGTCTAAATGAACCAAATCTGAATAAAATAATAGGATTTTCTCAAAATTTTTTCTAGAGAGCTGAAACTTTAAAAATCTGACTTTGAAATGTTTTGATAGTCTTAGGAAGTAGATGTGCAAATATACTAGCTAATATTTTAAATTAGATTGTTCTATCATGAATTAGTGAGTTTTTTTTTTTTTTGGTGGCTGGTGGGTAAGGGAATCCGAAACCTTGACCTTGGTGTTATCAATACCATGCTCTAACCAACTGAGCTGACGAGTCAGCCCTCACTGACAGTAATTCAAATATCAAAATGTGAAGCATGACAATTAAAGCAGTGAGACTAATTTCTTCTTAAAAACATATTTTCAGGTAGTCACCACAGGAAGTAATATATTTATTCCATTAGAACTGTCTTTGTAATTGTGTTCAGAACTAGCAGCACATTTTTATGTTATCCTTAGCCTTTGGGAATAGATCATGTATAGCTGTTAAATTAAGCTGGATAATAACCTCCAACCGACATTTTTTGTTGATGTTAAAGCAGAGCTGTTGCCAATAAGGCAGAGAGATATCGATGCCCTTTTCTAGTACCTAAACTGATTCTGAAGACAATTTCTTAACTGTTTTCTACAAATGTCTTTAGCAAAGGCAGCACCATCGGAATAAGGTCTTTCCCTACTCTAAGGGAACAAGTTCAGTAAATTATCCATCCATCTATTCATTCATTCTTTCAACAAACATTTATTGACCTGTACCAGGTACTAGAAGCTGAAAGTGAGTGGCCTGCCTTCTAAAAGCCTATAGTGTAATAGGGGAGAGACACTATTTTGATAGGATATGTTAAAAATAGGATAGAATGTGTTAAGTGCCATATTGATGTATGCCCAATGTGTTATTGGAGTATGGCAGAAATATACCCGATTCAGCCTGAGAGTTGGGAGGAGGAAGATCTAGTAAGACTTTCAGGAAGTGATGAGGCCTGACCTGCCCTGAAAAATGACTAGAAATTAGCTAGGAAAAGGTTTAGGGGAAGAGGACAGTACGAAAGAGTGACCCAAACAGGTAGAACAACTTATATTAGAGCCCAGTGGCTTTGATGAGAGAATTTCATGAGGCCTCCTGATAGTTTAGTATGGCCAGAGAACAGGTTACAAAGAGGTAGGTATGTGAGGGCAAAAGATAAGATGGGATACATAAACAACAAATCATAAAAATACATGTGATGTTGAGTGTGGACTCGTCATGGATATAGAGGGTCATTGAAATAATGTAAATAATATGTTATAATTCGATTTTTATTTTAGAGTAAATATTCTGGCGCTTGTAGATCCATGTAGAAGATGGATTGTAGGGAAATGAGAATAGTGACAGGAACACTAGTTAAGAGAACAGTGATGATACCTGTATTAGGATAGTGGCAAGATCAGTGAGAGAAACAGACGCGTCTATTAAGGAAGTAAAACTGACAAGATGTGGTCTAGCTTATGAACCTTGTGGATAGTTCCTATGTGTGAAGGTGGGAAACAGGAAATAGAATAGTCTGCAAGAGGAAGACTATGGATATGCTGAGTTTGAATTGTTCCTGGGACAGGTAGGTGAAAATTTTTAGGCTCTTGGATTTTTAGGTTTGGAGAAAAATTGAAGTTAATAGATTTAGGAATCATGAGCACAGTCGAAGCCATTGAAGGGCATGAGATAGTAAATACTTGTTTACTTGTTGAAAAGACTGACTCATCATTTTTGAAATTTTATGAATTTTGATGGTGGAATTTTATGATTTTTTAGATGGAATTTTACTTCTTGATGTATTCAAAACATTTGTGAATAGTTAAGCATGATTTCCTTTAAAACACCAACATTTAGAAACAAAATTCTATCTTTCTGAATTTCATTTCCCTCTGCTATATCTAATATTTCACATTTCTTCCGTTCTGCTAACTTTACCAACATTATCTTTACTTCGCAAGAAATACTGATTTACAAGCCTATTTCAAAACCAAGATCTTTGTGTAAGATTTTATGAAAATAAACACATCCACCCTCTGAAGGGAAAATAACTTTTAAAACAGTGTTAGAGAGTCAAAAGAAGAAATGTTCTCTACGATGATATTTTGGAGCAGAAGTAACAAATGCCCTTCAGTGAAAAGTACTACTGTTTTACATTTTAATATGGAGATTACAGAAATAAATTAATATGGAAAAGTCTACATTATAATGAATAAGGTGAAATTTTTCTAGTAGTCGTAGTTGGAAAAGATGTTCTACTGCTTATTACTTTACAATGTTCCTAGAGAATATTACTTTCAAGGTTAACTATTGATAAAGGAAAGTCCTTTTCAGGCTTATTAAGTGTATTTAAAGCTTAACTACCTAATGACTTTTAAAAACACTAGTTCAATTAGTTTTTTCAAGATGTATTTAGAAATATATTAAATTATATTTCAAAAATATCTAAATTTTCTATCAGTTTGTTTAGTTTTAACAGAAATAACAGTTTAAGATAATTTTTAATTTAATACTTATATTACTCTTCAAGGAAAAGACCATTTCAGGCATGAAGAATATCATTGCTGAGATGGAACAGGCGTCAAGGTAAATCATTTATTCAACAAATATTTGAGCACTTACTTGGGGCAAAGTACTATGTTAGGTACAAAGATAGTTAGAAACAAGGAAGGGGCTTAGTGTTACCTGTAAGGTGATAACCCTTTCATGTTCAAAGTGAATCTAAGTCTATCTAGGGAAGTAAAAGAGAGGATAGTGTTTACCAAGTAAAGTAAAGGGAAGGCATTTAAAGTGGAAAGAGTAGCAAAGAACCACAGATTACATTCAAGAGCCTCTAGAACTATAAGCAGGTGAGTGTTGTTGGAACCCAAAGTGCAAGAGAAGTGGAGGGAGGAAAAGCGAAACAGGAAGGCAGGAGGCCTGTGTTACAGACAAACGAGTCTTCATGTTGTCCTCTTGGCAATAAGAAATCACGAAAGAGTTTGGAGGAGATTTTTGTGTTAGAAAGATTACCTGGGCAGAAGAGGTGATGATAAATAGGGGTTTAGAGGTTGGGGGATAGGAGGAGTGAGGTATTTATGAGGGAGAGACTCTAGGAAAAAGTCAGGTTTCCGGTCGGGAATGAATACCGAACATGACAAAAGTTGAGGAGAAGGGTGATTTTACCTCTGAATTTGAAGAGCTCTTGAGACCTTATTATAGACACATCTAATAAGTGGTTTAATGTAAGAGTCTGGAGTGTAACAGAGGGGCTGAGTCTAGAGATAATGATTTTGGGTATAGACGGGGTTGGGAGCCATGGGTGTGAATAGAATTTGTCTGAGTAGGGCTAGAGTGAGAAGAATCAGGAGGCTAAGGTTTGAGCCCTGAAAAACATTATTATTATTATTTTTTTTTATAAAGATGACCGGTAAGGGGATCTTAAGCCTTGACTTGGTGTTGTCAGCACCACGCTCACC